GTTACATGTTGTTGACATCTCATATAAATATATAGATCTCCATTCTTACTCTGTGTCAGGTTACATATATGATCTCCATTCTTACTCTGTGTCAGGTTACATGTTGTTGACATCTCATATAAATATATAGATCTCCATTCTTACTCTGTGTCAGGTTACATGTTGTTGACATCTCATATAAATATATAGATCTCCATTCTTACTCTGTGTCATGTTACATGTTGTTGACATCTCATATAGATCTCCATTCTTACTCTGTGTCAGGTTACATGTTGTTGACATCTCATATAAATATATAGATCTCCATTCTTACTGTGTGTCAGGTTACATGTTGTTGACATCTCATATAAATATATAGATCTACATTCTTACTCTGTGTCAGGTTACATGTTGTTGACATCTCATATAAATATATAGATCTCCATTCTTACTCTGTGTCAGGTTACATGTTGTTGACATCTCATATAAATATATAGATCTCCATTCTTACTCTGTGTCAGGTTACATGTTGTTGACATCTCATATAAATATATAGATCTCCATTCTTACTCTGTGTCAGGTTACATGTTGTTGACATCTCATATAAATATATAGATCTGTGTCAGGTTACATGTTGTTGACATTCTTACTACTTGTGTCAGGTTACATGTTGTTGACACATATAAATATATAGTGCGCAGGTACTTTTTGGAGATCAGATTTAAAAAAAAAAAATCTACAGAAAAATTAATTGACTGGTCACTGCGACGAAACATTTGATGTGGTCTGATCCATTGATAATTAGGAAACCACAATGAGCGTGACCCTAACACATGTAATTACCTTAAGTAAACAAATTTACCCAGGTGACCTAACAAGCATGAAAGGCTTGGCTGATTGTATAATTAACGGTTAATGACTGTTAACACGTTGAGTATGAGGAGACTGATGACACTCGGCTTGGGCTGAACGCGTACTATTGGTCAGAAAACGATGTTGTTTTAACTGTCTGAACATTTTCAATCCTACCTTGTCCCCATAAAAACAGGTGGTTTGTTCAGTATAGGCATGATCTTTCATGGTATCTGTGGTATCCGAAGGTATTTAATGATAGATTGTTTACACCGACATGGGGAAACTGCGAACGCCATTTGACTACGCCGAGAGACTGGAGTTTCGTGCCGCCGGTCGCCACTTCGACATTCCAGAGTGAAATATCAAGGCACAGAAGAAAGAAAAGACCGTCTAAAGTCCCAACCACTGACCAGAAGGGCTAACATAGGTGCGACAGCGAAAAACCCAGAGATGGAGAGAGAGAGCTGTTCAACTTTGTATGCGATCGCCGATATCCCGGCATCGCTGCCAGTACAACAGATATGCGCGTGCGGGCCATGCAGATCAAGAGAGGTCATGGGGTCACCAACTTTGGGCATTGGTGGGATGGGCTGTCCGATTTATGAACAGAACGACAATTGCCTAAAAACATCCGGATTCATTGAATTCCACAGATACATCATCAAAATGAGGCAGCAATTCAGACACTACTATAACCCCGACCAATAGTAAGACCGACGGGAAACGAAAAAAAAATTAAATTCACCGTAATGCTAGCGTGAATGGCAGATGATTAAAACATTTTATTTTTTTTGTTGTTTTTATCTCCAAACTATCATATAAGACCGACGACTTTTACATATAACTATGTGAAGGGAGGTAATCCAATATGGCGGATGCAGAACTCGGGAATGATAACCCCAGGAATGGCATGTACCTGCGTATAGTGCGCACCCCCTTTTTGACACGACAGTTTCAGCTTAAAAAAGTGCGCACTATACACGAATATTTACGGTATATCAATGTATTGATGTAAATGGCTTGTATTGTGGGATAGTTTTCTACCTTTAGTTCGGTAGTTGAAGAGTAAAAAATATTGTCACATTTTTGTAGTTTCAGCTTGTGTTAAAGCCTTTATTTATTTGTGTTTTTGTTTTTAATATTTTTCTATTACTTCCAAATTTCAACTATTTCAAATAAGTGAGAAACATGCTACTGAATCTGTGACGTCTCTTCTGTCCCTGACCAGTTTCCCTGGGCCTGTTGAGCGTGCCCCAGGGTACCGCCAGCTGGAGACCCTGGATTCGTCGTGGTTGTCGTCAGTAGTTTGCTCATTGCCCTCCATCATCAGCATGTTGCTTGCTGTCATACATGAGCACCATGCTGATGGTATATATAACCTTTTTAAAACAAAAATAAAAAAATGAAAATGAAAGAAAAAAGAAAAACAAAAATATCTCAAATGAAATTATTCACTCTCTCTGGTATAATATTGTTCTGTATAAAAATGAGAAACTGGGTATAGTCACAGTTTGGCTCCACAACTCTTTACAGGAGTTTACTTTAGGTAAAATACAACCAGTACTACTGTCCTATATTCGTGATGCAGTCCTCATATGTACGTAGGTTGTGGAGACAGTGATTTAGTGGTTGTACAGGGTTATGGAAAGATGAGATAGATAACAAGTAAGTCTGTAGACTGTTGTCGTTAATTTGATGGACATGTACATGAAAATTGAAAGGCATGGAAAGAACAAAAAGTAATTATGTAGAACTGGGTCTAAAGATGGAAGGAGGCGACAGAAGTATGAGTCGGTGTTTTATCACTGATTGTGATCTAAATTTGACTTACAGCCAACTGGAGAAAATCTATATGGTGTAACTCAATATGTAAGTTCCATGGATGTCAACCTCACATATACAGCTTCTGTTGTTTTAAGAATCCCTATTTTTGAGTTACAAGAAATTTTTTTGCCTCATTGATAGAATTTGTTGTCAAGATTGAGATATTTTCCAGAACAGACCTAAAGTATGGGTTTTTGGTAATTGTAAAAGTCTGGTTAAGTTTAAACTTTTATAAAATGTTTTGTGTCAACATGTTTAACTTAGTTACAATAAAATTTCTGATTGATCAATATTTTATCAAGCTTTTGTACTTAAAGACATTTTTGATCACTCTGATTTGTATTCAGGCGCTATCATCATAACTTCCTTTCTCAAACTACAGGCTGTCAAACAATTCCTATATTCCTATGTTTTCCTATATTTTGATTCAAAAACCTATATCTTGAAAGACCTCCTATATTTCCTATATTTTCCTATTTTTTGAAAAATATTCCTATATTTTCCCGGAAATTTGTTGCCGGTAAAAGAGAGTGTAAATATTTCTTTGATACTGCTTTTGACTTCTTTATTTTACAGGTTAGAGAAGTCTTTAACAGCATCACCAGCCACCAGAAAATGATTCAGTTCATCTCATTATCACCTGTATGGACACCTTGCAAGGCAGTACAACAGGATATTGGCCTTTTAGGTGCCCATTCAGGTGATGATGATGATGATGATGATGAGCTATGCATCAGCTCTGCCTGGATTGTGATGCTTTTGAAGTGAATGGTTTACTTTAAGGTAGTTTTTAATCATTGATTAATATAGAAATAGTAAGTGATGCTAAGAATTCTTAATATAAATGCTTTTGAATGAAACCATTTTTATTTGGAAAACTCCTATATTTTGCCTCAAAACTAGCAAAAAACTCCTACATTTTGCCTCAAAACTAGCAAAAAAACTTCTATATTTTGCCTCAAAACTAGCAAAAAACTATATTTGTTGAAAAAATATTCCTATATTTCTCCTTTATTTTGAAGAAGACTTGTTTGACAGCCTGAAACTGTGTCATTTTAATGGTAAAATACTTTACATTTCTACACTGCATTTTACCCTTGATTGGTAAATTTCATATACACCGAAGTTTAACCCTGATAAATGATTTTCAACCGTTTCAATTTAAGGTGACGGGGTACACATCAATAGCCTTTTTGAAGAACAATAAGTAATGAATTTTAATATGAATATTTTATTTTATGTATAAATTTGTCAAGAATGGAGGCATTTTTTGGCAAATTTTGTAAAATTTCGGGAAGTCAAAAATCTCTGTAACATGAAATATAGCACCTATGGAATTTTTAAAGAATAAAATTGTACCAATTTAAAAATAAAACTGAATTGATCAAATCTAAAAATAGAAATGATCTGAAAATGGACAAAGCCAAGAGATTGGCTGTGCGATACTTTCAGTAGGCAGTTACGAATGAATTGTAGTTGTTATAGAGAGAAAAAATTGTCTGTGGAGTTAATGTGAATGGTAAGGAGTATGTGTTTTAGCCGTGGTTGATAGTTAAGGAGTCGGTACTTTAGTCGAGATATGTAGTGTATGACAAGTATGTAGTACAGTACCTTTAAGATGATAACTTACTACAACTCTGGTACAGCTGACACATCCTTGTTCATTGCACTACACACATCTAAAGTTACTACGGTAGATACGCCAGGCTCTGACATGATGCTGTACACTTTTTATGTTCAATGGCTTTTGTGATTGAGAGAGATAACATATCCTGAGGTTAATAGAGACAAAGAGCATTTTTTTGTCCCATTAGATGTAACTTTCTAGATTGCTGTACATGGCACTGCCCTACACGTAGGGGGTTATTAGTCCTGTGTACTGAAGTACTGTGTATGCCTGGTTATAGCCCCAGCTTCTCATATCGTCACTTAAGCAGATTGTTACTATGATACACAGGTTCAATCATAGGTACGTGACCTTTTCAGATAGGTTTATTTGATACAGGTATTTGTTTAAGAAGGTGAGGTAATTCTTGCACAGTGAAAAAATTTTGCTCCATTCTTGAACACAAGTCTAAAACATCAGCACATTCCGAAGTGCTTCGTAATTGTGTAGTTGATTTAGGAAGTTACTGGTGATTTTTTTTATTTTAATTGTTGTGTGAAAATATTTATAAAAAATTGTCACAATTTTACTATATGTGGAATTAAACAGAAAAGAAGGGGAGTAACTCTACTCTTCAAACTGCTTTATGTATTTAGGTTCTAACTGGGCTCTGTGTATCAATATATGCATTGTTCTGATACTTATATACAGCATATAATTGTGTTTATTTCACTAGGTGTGAGTCCTGCTGACCCAAATGAAGGGAACTTATATCCTACCATGGATAAAGAGCCAAGTGGTGCTGCACCCATTGGATTTGAGGGCCATGGTGAGTACCTTGATTGTTAATAATTGTCATTTTTATAATATCTATATAATTGACGTTGTCTTTCCAATGCCATTGTAACATTTAACTTCTGTACAACTGACCTGTGTCCCTGCTATCATTTATAAATAGCTTTTAAATGTCTTTTTATATGTTACCTGATTGGAATATTTTTTGACAAAGTCTTGGGACTGTCGTGATGCACTAATATTTCCCTGAAAACGAGAAGTCTGTTTGGATTCTGTTTCAGTTATGTAGGAATTTCACATAAAGCAAATTATTTTGCTTGCAAAAAGATTTTGAGTAATGATACATATTCCCTACCATATATTTGTGTAGTAAGTTTAGTCTAACCCTGATATAAAATCTACTAATTTTGAATGTTAGGACTGTGGAATGGTTTTCTAGTCTGTGAATTTTACACTCGTACAGCATATTGTAATCTGCCAATAAGCAAATTTTTGCTGGATTTTTTGTTTGTTTATGTTTTTCTTATTGATGATGTAGCGCAAAAGAGGAACCTACTATATCTCAAGTTCTCATTGTGAAATGCCTGCTGTGTGTCAGGATATAAACTGCATGGTCACCAATGTCATGACCTTTCGGTCTTCTGATATCTCAAGTCATTTTGAGTTTTTCTCCTAATTTCATCTCTGAAAAGTTTCAAGGTCAATAAATAGGGGAAAAAGTTTTCAGGTCAGAAGTTAGGAGGGGGGAAGTTTTCAGGTCAGAAGTTATGGGAAAACATTTGCAGGTCAGAAGTTAAGGGAGGGGGAAAGTTTTCAGGTAAGAAGTGGGGGGAGGGGGGAGTTTTTAGGTAAGAAGTTCAGGGGGGAAAAAGTTTCCAGATCTGAAGTTGGGGGATAAAAAGTTTTCAGGTCAAAAGTTAGAGGGAGGGGGAAAGTTTTCAGGTTAGAAGTGGTGTTGGGGGGGTGGGGGGGGATTTTTCAGGTCAGAAATTAAGGGGGAAAAAGTTTCCAGGTCTGAAGTTGGGGGATAAAAAGTTTTTAGGTCAGAAGTTGGGGAGTAAACAGTGTTTAGGTCAGAAGTTGGTGGGGGGAAAGTTTTCAGGTCAGAAGTTGGGGGGGAAAAAGTTTCCAGATCTGAAGTTGCGGGATAAAAAGTTTTCAGGTCAGAAGTTAGAGGGAGGACGAAAGTTTTCAGGTCAGAAGTTGGGGGGTAAAAATTTTTCAGGTCAGAAGTTTGGGGGGTAAAATGTTTTCAGGTCAGAAGTTTGAGGGGGGTGGGGGAGAAATAGGCCCAGGGGTTGGTTAAGTTAGAGAAAGTTTTAGGGTCATTAGTAAGGGTAAAAGTTTAGGGTTGGTTAAGTTAATTTTGAGGGAAAAATTTTAGGGTAGGTAATTGGGGGGAAAAAGCTTTTGGGTGAGTAGTTAGTGGGAATTTTACGGATTAAAGATGGTTGAGTTCACATTTCAAGAAGTAAGCTTTAGGGTCAAAAGTTATACTAGGAAAGTTTAATGGTTAGTACCATTAGAAAAGGTGAATTATTGGAATTTAAGGCGGGTTAAGTAAGAGAGAAAAAGCTTTAGCATTTGTAGTTAGGGGAAATTAATTTACTTTGTTGTTGATTTTACTGAAATTTCTTGACTTTAACGGCTAAAAATTTAAGTTTTACTTACCAAAGTCATGAAACATGGTGTTATCAAATGAATATTAGTCACTCTTCATGGACGTAATAGAAATAGATACACAGGAATGGATGACGAGGAGAAATCTGTAAGATTCACTAGACTTTCAGTAGGTAACGCAGGTGACCTACTTTCTCACATCTGGACAGGGGATCTATCTTTTCAGTTAATCTCTACTTTGCTTTACAATATTATTTCAAAAGCTGACAATCTTGCCTTGGTTATATGAACAATATTCTAATCAAACAAAAGACCTATGTCTGGTAATAAGCCCACCTTTATATATACTACTGTTCAGTAAAACTACAACTTTTACATCATTGCCCTGCAATAAGCCCGCCTATATATATACTACTGTTCAGTAAAACTACAACTTTTACATCATTGCCCTGCAATAAGCCCACCTATATATATACTACTGTTCAGTAAAACTACAACTTTTACATCATTGCCCTGCAATAAGCCCACCTGATAACTTTGAAAAATAATTTTTTATGTTGGTCCTGGGATTATTGCAGGATACACTTGTTAGTATTGCCACTTAATCCATCAATGATTTCTGTATCTAATTTACATTTTTTAAACTAAAAACAATGCAATATGCAGATTTGCTTGTGAAATAACAGCTCACTTCTATATTGAAGTGAACAGAACATTGAATCTCATGACAGAAAACTTCACAATTGCTTGATGATATTGTATACTGAAAAAATATTTCTGATATTGATATGATATATATATGTATATAGTTTCTCTGCTAAGTCATCATTATTTTCAAGGGGATCAAGTGTCAACACTTTGTCCATGAAATGATATTGATAGCTGCAATGTTGTGTCCATGTGTTATACTCTGGCAATCATCATATCAAAAATGGAGGTTTTGCTTGTAAAACCAATTCTCATTTCAGTAATACTTACCATAACTTTAGTATACATATCTTCACTAATTAGCAGAATTAGTGGAAGATATGCATACTAAAGTTATGGTAATTATTATAGAAATTACGAAACAGCTTTATAGAGTTTTGCATGTGCGATCTTGAAAACTTAAATTCTATTCTTCTACATTTATGTATATGTATATATCCATTTTATATTACCTTTTTCTTTTTCTCTCCCTGGCTTTCCCTCCTCATCATTTACGGACTTTTTAAAAATAGGAAGTGTTGGAAATGGAGTAAGTGATTTAGAAAGTGAATCAGTAGATGTACAAAATGAAGAAGAATTTGTGATAGGAGGTGAATCAGCATTTGTAGAAATTTTACCAGAATTTTTAGAAAATGGGAAAGATTATGTTGAGAACGGAACAGAATGTGCCGAAATTGAAGTGGAGCAACGAAACGCAACTGCGTTACCTAATATGGACAAACAAGAAAATGGCGATGAGAGCATGGCAGTCCCTGGTTTTACTAAAATAGGTTAACATCAACTCATTATTTCTAAATATTCAGCATGCTTTATATTGAGTATGAAATCCTATGTATGTGATAGGGTTTTATTGATGCCTGCGTAATTGATGTGTTTTTTATGCAATACTCATGATGTTTGAAATATTGAAAGTTCGTTAAATGTGAATTTTATGTTTACTAATGTCACGTTAATGAACATCAATTTTTATACTTAGATAATTAAATGGGATAATTATAAAAAAAATAATATAAAGACATACATGGCTTTTCAAGGATGCATGCACTTTAAGCCTGTATTAATTACAGATGTATACAGTAGTGTTTCCAGCTACAGGAGAGGTAAAATCTGTATTTGCCTTCCTTAGAGATGAACAACTCACATGCATTTTGTACTCTAGAAATATTACTACATGTAGTGTAACCAATGTTACAGCAGGATAATTTTGTCTTAAAGACATTTCATGTCATATATTTACTTTATAACGAGTTGATGTCTTGAACTTGTCGTACTTTATGACAGAAAAATAAGTTATCACCTCTGTGTAATGTAGACCGGGAAAACTCCAATTCCTGAGGATTAATTTCTTTTTTCACTAATGCCACTCAATAGAACCTCATGTTAAACTTTGAAATTCTAACCATGGATTGGGATATGTTTCTGTGTACACGATTCATCTTATTGATCTGTGTCAGGGATCTGTTATATATTAATGTTTAAAAGCCCTGGAGGCTTGACAGTTTAATACTGCTGGTCAATATTTGCTGTCCATTCTGACATGATGATAAAATGTGGATGGAATCTATAGTGAAACAGCTGTATCACAGTAATCAGACCGCAGAAATTCTGTGGTTCCCCACAATATCTGTCTCCAGAGAGCCCTGGAAATCTCAACTCTAATCCCAATAGAAAAAACCATCAATTCTAAACCCACTAAGAATAGTGCTTCCCCTCAATCTCCTAGCCAGGAAGCACTAAAACCCTCAACTCTTAACCCAATAGAAATAGTGCTTCCCCTCAATCTCCTAGCCAGGAAGCACTAAAACCCTCAACTCTAAACCCAATAGAAATAGTGCTTCCCCTCAATCTCCTAGCCAGGAAGTACTAAAACCCTCAACTCTAAACCCAATAGAAATAGTGCTTCCCCTCAATCTCCTAGCCAGGAAGCACTAAAACCCTTTACTCTAAACCCAATAGAAATAGTGCTTCCCCTCAATCTCCTAGCCAGGAAGCACTAAAACCCTCAACTCTAAAACCAGCAAGAATACTGAATTTTTTATATAGCAGGCAAGCTTTTAGTTATAACCTCACATCACAATAATCTGTGTTATTTGTCTAGACTTAACAGTGACTGAATGTTGATTGTTTGTTCGGGCTGATGCGTCAACATAACCACATGTAGGAAATAAAAGGAACAGACAGCCAGACAACGCCTTCGGTAGATTTCAGTCGAGTTTAATGGTTTACATGTTCGACACACTAGGTGTGTCGTCCTCAGAACAGAGTAAATATTCAAACTACAGGGCTATAGATATTGCCTATGCATAGCAACTACACATGTTATTGATATTTGACGTCATAGATAGTACACTGGTTACAATGACGTGGTGTGTTAGTGACGTCATAATACTAGAAAGTAGATATAGGCGGAACTCCGCAATGTAATAAGTTACTACTGAGTACTGTACAAATCTGATTATATGAGTTTATAATAAATAAAAAATACCAATAATCTACCAATAGTATCTCCGATATATATGAAAACATATGCCGCGTAGTGTATTATAGCTGAAGATTTATATACCCAATCGGTAAGTAATCCAATCCTGCTCTGTATGTATCTCCACTGAGTTACAGTTCCAATGGCTTGCACATCTATCTTCAATACAAAATTAATACTGTACATATGTGTACATACAAACAACTGTAAGTTATAGGTTAACAAATGTAAAACCACATGGTTAATCACTCAGTATGCAAATTAATATTTATAGAATAAATACACTGAAATGCGATAATGAATAGTTTATATCCGGTATCCAGACGTAGTGAGGATTATAATTATCCGTGTCTGATATTGAGTCCCTGTGGTTCCGCGGTGTTCAAATATGTAATTCCGTGCGGAATCCGCCTTGTGTGGACTATTGAACTTACCGTACGATTGCACCGGACATTGGATCTCTTTTCCTTTGTAACATGTAGGAAATGTTTATTCTCTTGATCAAAGTTGAGAATTAATATAATTTGAGACAGTTTCACACACCAATGGTTTTATAATAACAGATTTCAGACTCTTTTTTTTTCCAAAATGATCCTAATCAATCATAGTTAGGCTACATATTTATATAAAAAGGATATTTTTGAGTTATTGAGATGTGGATCAGAACCGAAAAATTGGTTAAATGTATTCATACATATTTGTATATATATTTATATATGTGGTATACGTATATTTAATGCATTGAAAATAGATCTATACATGAACATATATTTGTATTTTAATTAGAAAACACAGGGGAAAAGATGCTTATGTTACCCTACTTACCTCCCTTCTTCCAATAATCATGATCCACAAGTTTGGAAGCCATTCTTGTTTTTTAATTGACAGTGTGTAGTTCTCTCTGCATGTAATTATTTAGAAGTGTTATTCTGTAAACTGCATGTGCCACCCAAAGTCTGCATCTTTGCATATAATTGATTTCATTTCAGCATTTGTCATTTAAAATGCTTTATCACAAACAGGAAATAGATTATTGCACAAGATAAAACAGGTAAAAGTAACGGCAATCTGTTACACGTAGAATGCTACTATATTAGTTTGGTGTTGTAGAATTGTCTTATGTTTTAAACATGAGCATAATTCTGAACTGAAAGAAAGTTATTCTATTTTTCTACATAATAGATTTGATGCTGGAAGGAAAAACTGAAATGCTGCTATTTCATATAAAGGCAAAGTTAAAAAGAAAATAATGTGCATGTTTTACCCGGAATGAAATGAAAAGATATACAGACTATCCTATATAAGTATCAGTGCTGAATATTGATATGGCAGAAGTTATGAGATTCAGATAAATGAATTGGTTATTTTTAGTCCAGATATAATCTGCTGTTAGAGGGACTACTGTTTATTAGAATTACTATGGTATTTCTGTGTAGGTGTATAGTTTCTCTGTAGCTTGGCTTTGCATTCACTATGTAATGTGGATCAGTCAAGCGTGAACTTAAACTTTTGTGTTTCCCATCATATGTTGTCCTATAGATTTACCTGTGTTTTTCTTATCATGTGAGCCCGCATATACTACCTTAAAGTATCGACCCTCATATATATATATATATAAATCTGTGAGTGTCGTTCATAATCCGGAGGAAATGTCCGACACTGTACCACTACACCTATCCAACCAGGGGTACGGGGCTATCCCTCCCACAGATCACGAGGATGTGATAGCCGTATGTTGTGGTAGGGAACATTACGTATTTAAGCTGACGTGTAAGATGTGTCACTTTGTACATGTTGTTTTTTACCTCGAACATTGACATCTTGAAGAGTGGTCAGGGTGACAGGTGTATATAGTATTTAAGTCTTTACGTTCCAATATGTATTGCATTTAAAATTGCCTTGATTTCCTCAACTTTTATATAACAGATTTACTGAAAAATATGTCTGATATATTTAAAGGCTGGTGAATATTATCTGCTATGTTAGCAACAAGTACTTTTAAGGGTGATTGAATTAATATGAATGAAAGCCTTGCCTGAAAATTAAGATTTACTGAAACATATGTCAGATCTATGTAGGAGTAGTTGTAAATATCTTGGGAATGCTTTTCTGTTCCATGTGCAACCTAAACTTAAAAATGTGATTGAATTCAGTTGCACGACACTTTGCCAGAAACAATTTCTGGTAACATATGTCTGATATATGTGAAGGTGGTTAATATCTTGTGACACTTTTCTGTTTCGTGTGCAACCTGTACTTATAAGGGTGATTGAAGTTAGTTGTTGGAGTGCTGTTCTTATGATGTGTGTAGGGAAATGAAAATAGCAACTTGTAGAAATTTGTATATTTTGCATATTATGTGCAAAAAAATCATTTGAAGAATGTTGAATTTTTTGTTGAGGAAAAGTGTGCAAATGATCAATGTACATATGGAAATAATTTATGAACCTCATCTTGTTAATAACACTGTATACTATCAACATACATCAATTAGATATAAAATATCATTTCCTCAGTTTCATTTCGAAAATACGAACAGTCAGTTACATGCTTTTGTTTTTGCCAAATATTCCTTGATAAGTTTTTATGAATTTTATGTCTTGGTGAAAATTTGGCATGACTAAATCACCTGGCTATTTTTTGGGTCCTGTGTACGTATTTCTGTCAGACTGGATTATATATCTACGTAAATGTACATACAATCTTCGTTTTTGCTTAATTTGATATTGTCATTCATGATTGAATCATTCTGTGTCTTTTTATATACCAGTTCTGTTGTTACAAGAAAGATGTGATGATGCAAAACATCATATGATCAACACCACTGTATTTTTTCAATAATGCATTATTTGGTAACTCCTAGAAATACTTTCTGTTTGTAAAATTTGAAATTTATTACAGTTATTAAGGTCCATTGAAGAAGTTTTAGTGCTGGTAATGTATACTCTAGATGTATAGCTGTGAAGGCAAGGTAAAATCTGCAAGAACCCTTAGTTTGAATGTATAGACGCATTCTGTCAAGTGTGCGGAAAAAAATTGGGTACATTTATAAACATCATCAGTCATCAGATAATTCATTGATGCTGTAAATCAGTGTGAAACAAATTTTTGGTTTAAATCTAATCTTAAGTATAATCAAAAAATATTATGGACAAAAAGGAGAAAATCACAATAATCATACTTGTCTTTCTGAACCACTACGAAAGCAGAGATAAAAAAAGCCTTTAATTTTTACTGAACCATTGTCTTATCTCGAGTGATTTAGAATGGTGGTTTAGAGTAAGTCTTGTACATTAAGTGTCATTCCAGACTGGAGTAAAACTTGGTAATGAAAATTTGGTGTAAAGAATAAAAAGGCAGTGAAGTAGGTAGCTTTTATCCCAGTTCTGTCTGTCTTGAAGATATCAATTTACATGGTCAACACAACAACACGCAAATGAGGATAAAAGAGGTAAACATTGAAAAAAATGAACAAAATGTCACAAACAAAACGAGGAATAAATAAAGAAGGACCTATATCCGGTCGTGGGTAGGTATGACAACGAGCAGGTAGAGGGGCTCCATGCGGGAGAGGGAGGTGGGGGGTGGACAGAGGTGAGGGGTGGGGTGGGGTGGGGTGGGGGGGGGTGTGGGGGGGGGGGTAAAGGGGATTGGACTCTCTTTTTCATGAAAGTGGAAGATATGCATCTAAAGTTATGGTAATTATTACTGAAATGAAAATCAATTTACAGACTATACTGAATTAACCACAGGTGCTATGGAAATGTTGGTGTACTGTTGATGAACTTTTTGAACAAAATCATCTGTCCTACATGTCTCTTCTTAGATTTAAGAGGCATGAATGGGCTCCAATTTTTTTCTCTTTATTTGACAATGTTAAATGAAGGTCAGTTGTGAAGTCAAAGTTTTCAAATCTAGGTGGCTAATATAAGAGAGAAAAAATCAAGTGGTAAAAATGTTTATGGACTCCTTCAAGTTCATCATCATAATGTCCATGCCTTAGAATGGAGTGAAAATTCACTTGTAAATAATTTCCTATGTATGTGTGTAAATTTTGTGCATGTAATATTTTATTAATTACTTCCTTGTTGTTCTCCAGGAAAGTGAAGTTGTTGTTTAGATCTGGTATATACTTTGATTTTATCCTATTTCCTTCTACATGGTTTGCTGTTTTTAATCATAGCTCATTTAGTATTTTCTTCTGTATATATTTTTTGTAAACAATAAATGTACATTGCTGCTTGTATTTTTTGTATTATTTTGACATTTGCTCATTACAGCCTCAAGTTTCTAGAAATGCTGTACAAACACAATTTTTTTTCATTTAACTTCTTTATAAATATGAACTTTTGAAATTTAAATGAAACTAGTTATGATCTTTTTAAACTTGAATCACACTTTGAACTGTGTACTCATTGTTTTTCCCCTCTGATAGAATTAATGTTATATTATAATTACCTGTTATCATACATCAAATCATGTCCATCATGTAAAATGAATTTTATATCAGGAAATCTTTTTATCTTTAAGGAAATTCAATCATAATATGTTTAAAATTCTTTCTTTGTAACGTGTATGGAAATCTAGTTGAACCTTAGACCAGTTGACAGGTTGTTGGTATATAAATATATCTTTGTATCTGTGGTTTTGTTAGCATTATTTTTTTTTTTTTGTTATGGTTGCAGCCAATGGTGGCCCCGAGGATGGAAGAGAGGAGAGCACAGCAGTTGATATAGAGAGAAGTCCAGAGGTAAGCTATTCCCTCAGCTGTCAGTTTTAACAGAAAAATCTGACTGTCATAGTGCAATATGGAAATACAGTAGCTTTATCTATATAGTGTTGTTAAAGTTACTGGGAAAAACATCCTTCTTTCACAATAGTTTATTCTAGTTCTGCATGTAAACAATTTTGAAAAGTAAATTATTGTGGTGCTAGTTTAAACTTAGATTTATTAATCTATAATGCTAAAAAAAAAAGATATGAAAAAAATCACATTACATTTCGTTTCGTTCTGGTTCATTCATTGGGAACTTCAAGACATTTATTTACACAATACCATAAGTGAAAGACAGTTTTTTCCATGTTTGAAATAAACAACTTAAATATCAGAATTTTTTAAAGTTTAACTAATCTAAATTTTTTTAAAAATTTTTTTTTTACATTTATATTATGGTTGTTTTTTGTATGCTTTATGATAGGAGAGACAACTTGTAAGTTTTACAATCAAGATTTTTAACATGTAGAATTAACTGCCCTCCTTTATTAACTAAAGCCTTTGCTGACATACCTCACACTAACTCTGAGAGTGATATAAACATCATACAGATATAGAAATATTGTTCTTCTGAAAAAAAACCCAGTAGGATTAAGCATGCACATTTTCATCGAAATTATCATTTCTTAAAAAAAAAAAAGAAAAAAAATATTGCCAAGTGGATAGCATTTACATTATAGTTATAGAACTTGGTAGGATTTCTTAGAGTACTAAACAGCGTTATGGTTCTGGATTTGCTGTCGGTAGGATGGTGTGGGTGCGATGGAGGTAGGTGATCACGCCTTAAAGCTTTTCTATGTGTAGTGTTATCATAATGTAGTACACTGTGTGTAAACCCTGACACGTACATTGGGATAGCTCTCATTATATGCATATCTATATAAGTACACTGTGTAAACTGTTTCACATACATTTGGATAGTCACTATAACAAACCATATATCATACAGTTTGTACATATACCTATATACAGTATATTATACTACAGGTCTAGTATTTTCTATACCTTTCAGTATTATTCCATATATTAACCTCAGAAATCTGAAAGTAAATGTTTCCAGAAATGAACACTGAAATTATTTTCTGTGATTTTTCTATATAATTGTTTCATTTCATCAGATATTTTTCTTGTTGATGGTCATTTGCCTTAGTCTGAACTATACCTCTTAGGTACATATGGGGGGACCCTTAGGTACACGTGGTGGGACCCTTAGGTACACGTGGGGGGATAAGAGTATTTCATTTTATGCTCCGCAAAGGAGAGCATATAGTTGCCGCTTTCTCCATCTGTCCATCTGTTCGTCCGTCCCTCCATCATAATTTTTGTTCGGAGCATATCACAAAAATTATAAGAGGTATCAACATGAAACTTTATAGGTAGATATATCTTGATGAGGAGAAGTGCACTGTACACGTACCATAACTCTTTTTGCATAATTTAGCAGTTATTGAAACTTGGTGTATACATTGGTCATATTAAGAGAATGTGCAGTATACCAAATTCAGGGCCTGCAACTTCTTCATGACAAATTAATGCACTTTGATTAAATGTTGTTACCATTAAGTCCTTTTCGGGAAGCATTCATTAGTTTCGCTGATACTCTTGTATATTTAACTACAGAATCTTGTGTGTCCAAAAATTTATTGTGATTTCCATTCTGGTATGAAATTCAAGATGGCCACTGCATGCTGGCTGAAATGACACACTAAACTTTCAATGCCTTTACAGTAGCCTAGGTGAAATGGCGGTATTTATTGTCCTTTTTGTGTCAGAAATATCAAGGTATTTTAATTTATTTAGTACCATCTGCCGATATCAACCTTTCTGGGCATTATCAGTACGACAAATACAGATTTTACGTGTCTTATTGTATCTGAAATACGGTACCCTGTTCTATAAATACTAAAATAGTGGACATAGTATTGTTTTTGTTTCTGGAGCTTTTACCTCTGGTCTCTCTGTCCTTAGGGTTACCTGGTACACATTATTGTTATTTCAAATTCAAGATATATAAGATGGCCAATATGTTTCATGGTTATGAGTATAGTGTTCAAATAGAAGATTTTGTGAATGCTGCAGGTCCATTGGGCCTGTTGTAATTAAACAACTTCCATATGAGTCTGAGTACACTTTTACATGAGATCAATGTCTAGATAAGATAAATTATGAGGTTCTGACAGTTAGTCATAAAACAGAAACAGATGTCACCCCAGCTTGTGAAAATTGATTAGTGAATACATTTTTGTGTGCATGAGAATAGCTCTTTGTATAATTGTATTTTCTTAAATATTGAAGTCAGTAAACAATAGTTCATCTCCATGCTGTAGTTTCCAAAATATTTTCCTCAATTCTGTCAATGATTCTCAGTTGTATTCTTCTTTATAATGAAATACAGTGTCAATAAACGTATCTCTGAGGACTGTCAGATTTCACAAACCCATGCACTGGACAGTAAATCAATATTCAGACTCCGGGAATATTTCTCTTGTAGACACCAGACTTCCCTAGATACCACAAAATGTAGAGTACCATTTTCTGGACAGCCTCCATTGGCTTTTAGCTCTACTGTCTATCACCATAGAAATCCTTTACTGCTCATTCTCGGACAACTTCAGATTCCAATTCTGTCTGATCTGGAATATGTGTCACTTTGTCTACATCCATCTTATCTAGTCTGTAAATGTTTCCACACAAATGCCCAAATTTTATGCCAATGTATACATTCAAAGACTTTTTTTTTATTTTTTAAAAGTGGATAACTAGTTTGTTGTTGTTAACCTAATTGAAATGCTTTTTGTAGCTTTGAAATGTTTGCTGTGTCCCGAATAAAAAGAAAAAATATATAGAATAGATGTGGTAACACTATTTTATTTTTAAAATTCCTTAACTGTATTCGAATAAACAGAAAAAATATATAGAATAGATGTGGTAACACTATTTTATTTTTAAAATTCCTTAACTGTATTCGAATAAACAGAAAAAATATATAGAATAGATGTGGTAACACTATTTTATTTTTAAAATTCCTTAACTGTATTCGAATAAAAAGAAAAAATATATAGAACAGATGTGGTAACACTATTTTATTTTTAAAATTCCTTAACTGTATTCGAATAAAAAGAAAAAATATATAGAATAGATGTGGTAACACTATTTTATTTTTAAAATTCCTTAACTGTATTCGAATAAAAAGAAAAAATATATAGAATAGATGTTGTAACACTATTTTATTTTTAAAATTCCTTAACTGTATTGTACCTACATTTCCACAGTAATAAGATATCTATTAAACTTATCCATTGAATGATGATAAAAGACATTATTGGCTAAGGTGAAGGAGAATTTAGTTTTTAAACAATGATGTATGAATGGTCTACTTCAGACAGACAGTATCAACATACAATATTAAGTTGTTACATAGAATTAAAAAGCCAGTATTACCGACAAAAATCCACTGCAAGAAAAACAGTATGAAACCTGTGACTCCATGGTAATCCATATCGCCTTGGCAACAGGATACATGATATATCATTACAGAAATAGTGATTTGATCAGATTTTTAAAGATATATACAGCTGCCATAACAACTCAAGCCATACCCTTTTCATTTGATTTTGTTGGTCAATTTATCGCAATTATGAAGATATCAAATAACAGAAAGCATGCAGAGGTTTAATGCTGGTCTTTGGGGTAAAAAATTTATCTTGATCAATGAATTATTACGAAATTTTCGGAGTTTATTAGATCAGATAATGTACAGCATATCCCTGTAGAATACATGTAGTTATTCCCAAGATTAGGCCTGTGATATAGTTGTATTTATTTCAGATTAATGTTTCTTCTGGTGTTTGCTGTATGTATTTGTGGCTTACAATATCAGTCCTGTTCTATTCCTTGATTGCATTTAGATGTTTTAGATGGAGATATTTTGGTATCACAATGATATTCTTTCTAATAATGGTTTCAGACAAAGCAGTAAATGAAACTTAAAATAGTTTCTAGCTGGATGTCATGGAGGGTCCATTTCTGAAGTTCAGAATATACCAAGGACCTATTTTTCTATATGCTGTGCCAGTTGGGATCTATCTCAATGTGACATTTCTCTGGATCATAATTTAGGGATTGATTGTCAGCAGAGATGGGATGATGAGATGGACAGTGATAGAGGTGGGGGGTGGGGGGTTGTGTTTCTGATTGACAGTGATAGGGGACGGTGGGGTGGGGGAGGGTGTGTCAGATTGACAGGGATGGGGAATGGGGGTGTTCAGATTGAACCCTTTAAAAATAGAGAGAGCTCTGATCAATGATTGACTGCAAGGATTACGATAAGAAAATGACTTATAGCTCACACTGGTACAAAGTACATAAAAATCTGCATTTTGTAACCAGAATTTAGGATGTTGAAACACATGCTTAGTCTGAATTGCAGTAACACCAAGTCAAAAACACACTTTAGAAATTTCTTATTTGAATGTAAAATGCAAGATTAAAAACTTCTGGTTATTTATAACCCATTGAAATCAATTGTTGAAAAGATGATGAAGTACATATTGATAGTGTGATGGTAAAATATTGTCCACATTTAAAGCAGGCAGAAACCTCACTGGGAGGGGAAGATATTACTCAGGAAGAGGCAAAACTGCTGCTCAAGCAACAGAAGGTGAAAGTGAAAGTAGACAAATTCTATTTATAGCATTATCTCAATGTTGTTAACTATGTCGATATACAGTGAAATGAACATGGTGTTTGTAGACTGTAGTAAAACCTGTCTTATCTTCAATACTAACTTAATCAGATTTCATTTCAAACATTGAAATTCTGTGATATCCTTTGTTTCATTATTGAGGTGATGATTTTTAATCTTTTTAACAATGGTTTGCATGTTGATTAACCTTTTTTGTGAGACTGTGATAAATCACTATGATCAGTATTTTGTCAATGGATAAGGGTGCGCGTTAACGAAAAAAACAATTAAA